GTCTTAAACCAGCACATGACTCACGTCATCCAGTGAAACTTTACAGCCAGCACAGTTCTGCGTCAACTTACATTCTAGATGTTGACACGATGCATGTTGTGCCGAAAAGGCACCTTGAGCATCATGTAAACTCAATGAAAAGCATGGAAACAATGATGAAAACCATGGAAAAAAAACAATAAAAACCATGGAGCAATCAATGAAAACCATGGAAAATCAATGAAAAACATAGAAAATGTGATGAAAACCTTGGAAAATCAATGCAAGCTATGGAAAAGTTAATGAAGGCCATGGACAAAGCAATGAAAAGATTGGAAAAATCATTGAAAATCATGGAAACATTAAGGAAACACAGTGAAAACAAAGATGAAGAGCGCACAGCAAATTGCATTTTTATTTCCAAATGCAGCAAGCCATGTGGTCTGACCCATTGACACCAGTTTTGCGTTTGGAAAAAAAGGGATGTTTTGCATGTAATGTCTAGCGTTGGCCCTGAATATTTTTTTTTTGATGCTTTCGAGCAGCTTGATCTCCCCTAGCCTCGGGGGATCAAGAAAAAATATTTCCAGATCAAAAAAAATTATACCTAACCTACCACTAAATTTAGATGAAATAGGCAATATTTTTTTTAAGATCCTAGTGTTTTATAGTGTTTTATTATTTTTTTTTTTTATCTGGATTTTTTTTCTAATCCTCCACTCTTTTTGTGCGGTCACTTTGACTGTTTCAAAGAAACATATTCCAAGTGGTGCTGCATTTTGTCATGCAGGCAGGTTCCAGCCGTGATCTTCAAGGGTCTGTTGCTGTGAAGCCCGCCATGCCCTACACTGATGCAAGTCTTCAGAAATACTGCAAATATATGAAACTAAATAGTTTGCTGGTCGAATGGTTTCTGATTTTGCACAATCACAGAAGTGCTGTAGATAGGAAAGATGGACAGTCACCTACCAAAATGGAATGAGTATCACATTGAATGATACACCAGCAGCAATTCCAAATAAAATGAAAGCGAGGGAACTTCTCGCTCTGCATGTTGACCCTACAGGTACCTAAGATTACCTAAGAAGAAGCCAGACAATGAACGTGTATATATTTTTTATACATTGACATGTTTATACCACATTGATAGTAACATTGACAGTTTAACGCGTTTAAGTCTTCCAAGAATGAACAACTAAAGCCTTCAAAGCCTTCAGATGTTTGTCCTGTTGCATGACTTGCTTCTCTGAGGACACTGCGCCGCCGGCGCCGGCCAAGCCGCCCTACCAGGGAAAAAATTACGCGGGAGGGATATTTGTGACAGTGGGGACTTAACGCGATGGACCATGATGGCCCCTTTTTGCTGAGACATTATCTGCGTGACCGTGGCGAAGTTGGAATCGGCGATTTCTTGACAATCTCAGAAACTCCTAGTCGTTAAGGAAGACTTTGACATGAACATATATGAAAATATATTTGAATACTATAGAGTACCCCAAGATTGGTAGTAAATCGATGATCATCATGTTCCCATCAAAAATGAGGACGTCGACATCTCCCAATTCTCCCATATGACGTTCATGGCTTCGGGGTTGTCAAGTTGAAGAGATGTTCACTTGGTGGTTTGACTTTCCCACTATTTTAATCTATTTTATAGTAGGATATGACTTTTCTATCTTTCCTGGAGGTTGCCACGATAGTGATTATTGGTGATATAGTTATAGTGCAGGATGTCGACGCTATTTTGACAACTGCTTCATGGACCCCCAAATGGTGAGACACTCTGGCAATGGTGCTCCCCATACCCTGTGGATCCCTGTGGTGATTTTTCTCCGGGCATTCTGACTTCCACGCGGTCGCGTCTCATCACGCCATTCTGGCGATAGACGCAATTAGCGCATGGATGTGCTGTGCATGGCCACTTTCATGTACTTTGATACGTGCTGGGTGATAGACCTTGGCTACCACAACTGTGGGATCAAGCAACAAAATTACAAACCAATGTGTCACTTTACTCACTAACCAAAGACAATTAACCAAAGTACGGGATTAGATAAAGTTTATCAAAGCGACAACGAGGGGTTGAAAGGGAAAATCATATACAACCTGTAAGATATGATGAAAGCAGCAGAAAGGATAGGTACCCCAGCTTCCACCCTAAGCAGGGTACATTATATTGTCAAAGGGAAGCGTACACCGTCAAGTCTATAAAACAGATGAAATGATGAATACACAGTCTGTAAATGTCTGTAAAACATATTAAAAAAAAGTGCGGTTTGGAGGACAATCGTTTCCCGCCTGTGCAATCGCCCGGGCACCAGGTTTCCAAGATACACCCAGTTTCGAAGCAGTCGGCAGATTTTTCTCCGGATGCGTTGTGGCATATATGAATAAGTGATTGAAGTGATTGGGAGCTCTGCGTACTGCCATTCTGATGATTATGAGAGTTTGGACACTGCTTCAGTGAAATTCAAAATCATTCCAGTATGATTCTTTTCTTGACAGCTGTAGAATTCTTTGTCATATGTGGATATATGTGGAAGAGTCTGGCAGAGGTCGAGCATACCACCTTGGTGTAGCAGCAGGTTTGGGGTACAGCTGCCATTTTGGGCTTGATTGAAGCTGCTGATCCCTTGGCATCCCGTAGGATGTAGATGGTAACCTGGTAGACCTAGGAGAAACAGAAATGCTTCGATCGCTGGTATCCAAATTTCTGAGAAATTCTATGATGTTCTATGAATTCTATGCCTATTTAAGGGATGATTCTCTCATTGGCAATCATTGACTGCGTGAGGGATGCGTGAATTGGGATGCCCATCTCCCAATTCACCGGAGCATTTTTTCGTCCAAGACCTGGCCTTCCAGTGGGCCCAACGCTCCAGGAGAACCCGGACTTCCTGGGGTTCAGACAAGTTGGACATCTGGAATTTGGGAAGAAAACGTTGTTTGTACCCTCCAAAAAGCTATGGAAAATGAATGAACATTACCCATTTATAGTTTATAGATGATTTACCTAGATGATTCTTGCTAACTTTCGCAATTCCCTGCTGCTAAGGTATTAGGATTGTATATTAAGCCATGCGGGTATGTCAGAAGGGTTTGTGGCGAAAGGAATGGACACGACTCTGATTTGAAGGAATTGAAAAAAAAAAAAGATATTATATATATATATATATATATGAGCAACCGTAAAAACCCCGGCAATACTAAATATGTATTCGACGGACATTGGTTTATGGAAATTGATGGAAATTGTTAAAAACACGAGGTAAGCGATGGGTCCTTCCCAAATTAGCGATACCCCTTTTCAAGGTTATGTCATCATATTTCTCTAATATCCACATTAGCGATACCCAAATATCACATATTATTCATAGTTCATCACATATATATAAAGGGCTTACGCCCCCTGCCGCCGACCCCAGATTCACTCCAGTAGTGGAGCTTGATGTCTTCCTCTGGCTCACTCCTCGCCCTGGTTGGGGGCCAACGGGCCAACTGCCATTTTGTCTCAATGATGCGCTTCTTTGGATGTTCGACCGGGAGCTCCCAGGACAGATGTGCTGTGGTAGACATGCGAGGACATGATATATATATATATATAAATAATTGATATCAGGGATTTCCGCGGCTGTTCATGGAATGTTGTTTTCATATTTTGGGGATGGTGTGTCTTGCCTCCCTTGCGTAAGACGTAGTCTTCGCAAGGAAAAGGCGCACCAAAAGTATGCATGAAAACAACATTCAATAAACAGACACGGAAACCCCTGATATCGTTCCCTCCTCTTTTCACTGTTCCTGGCTTTCTCCTTTCCCTTTGTCCTTGCCCTCTCCTCGCATTCTCCTTTCCCATTCTCCTTCCCTTTCTTCTTTCCCCATTTCCCGTTTCTCCTTTCTCCTTGCCCTTTCTCATTCTCATTCCTTTCCCCTTTTTTTTCCTTTCCTTTTCACTTTTACTTCTCTCATTCCCTTTGTTCTTTCTCTTTCCCCTTTCACTTTCTCCTTTTCCATTTCCTTTTTGTCCGTTCTCCTTTCTCCTTTCCCTCCTCCTTCCCCTTTCTCCTTTCCCTTTCTCCTTTCTTCTTTCCTTCTCCTTTTGCATTCGCTTTCTTTTTCCTTTCCCTCTTCTCCTCTTTCTTCACTTTCCCCTTCTTCTCTTCTCCTCTTCTTCTCTTCTCCTCTTCGCCTTTGTCCTCTTCTCCTTTCCCTTTCCTTTTCTCCTGTCTTTTTTCCCTTTCCCTTCTCCTTTCTCTTTTCTCCTTCCCCTTCTTCTTTCCCTCTTTGTCCTTTTCCCTTTCTCTTTTCCCTTTCTCCTTTCCGTTTCTCCTTCCCCTTCGTCCTTTCCTCCTTTTCTTTTCTCCTTTCTCCTTTCTCCTTTCCCTCCTCCTTTCTCTTTCCCTGTGCACATGGATTGCAAGCGTAACCTATAGATGGCACAACCTGAAGGTATGGTTTCCCACAAAAATGCGTGACCCCGGGTAGAACCGCTTTTTTTCGGTAATGGCGATAGCTTTCTGTTTCTTTTGATTCTCACCGAAAATTTAGCAGTGGTAACATCCAATAGATACGCAATGGAGACCTATAAACTGCACACTCCATCTTGTTGGGTTTAGTGCAGGTGGAACCCTCGGACAAAATTTATCAAAATATATCAATACAAATATCAATACAATATTTGATGGTTGATGATCACTGAAGATAGTCAGTACTAGTACTATTCATAGTGAGTAAGGCCCCAAATCACATTAATATCAGTGGGAATAGAGCTGTAGCTGGGCGCGACACTGTGGTAGTTCAGTCTCAAGTTCGTGCATAGATATATATATATATACCTGGTCCATCCTGCGTTGTTCCTTTTACTGGTCTTTCCCCAAAGCCAAAGATTTCAGTTCCGAACAAAAAAAGTTGTCAGCAAGAATTTCCTCATATTTCACAGCATGTGCCATCTTATAGTAAAATGCTCAGAACATGCCTGCCCAAGAAGTATTCCTTCCAGAAACGCACGCCTTGATTTTTTTCTTCTAAGCGCACCTGCGAGTTGACCATTCCCTGCGAAGTTGGACCAAGTACTTATGAATGGTAGTCCTTGCAACACTGCTGGGGTGAGCTGTTCTGCCAATCCTAGACACAACACCAATGAAATCTTCAAGAATCGGTGTCGAGAAAGCTCCTGGGCTTATAGCCCACTCTTGTTGAACCCGCAAACATTCTGCCAGTGCTTCATGCCAATGCGCCGTAAAATGCGATTTAGGAACAATCTTGAAAAGTGTCCAGCCCTCGCCATGCCAGTAAATCTGCAGCTGCGTATAGGCATGCAAAAACATTCCCACGTATGCTTTGCCACGCCTTTGCCTGTCAGGGTTCCAGAAAACTCTATCTCCAGTGTAGGCCAAGCGCATGAACTCATCAGCCCCTTGAAGGCCAGTAAGAGTAGTATCCAAAATCCAGTTCTGAGCAAACGGTATGCTTGTCAAAAAATCAATGAGCCACTTGATAAGGAGATTGCAGTCAGAGGCCTTGCAAGTCATTTCTGGGTATGACCTGTTCTGCTGCCAGCCTAAATTGTCTGCAGTAAATTCTTTCATGTCTCGAACATGGCCCCCAGTGCAGTCCAACCAACTTTGGAAGTGCGAATAGGCTTCCTCGAGTCGACTTTCCTTGCTGTTTCGAGATTGCCCCCCATCCTGAGGCAAAAAGATATTCATAGGTCCTGCCATCATACATATGACAGATGCCACAAAATTCCTTGCACAACCATGAGGCAACATATGCATCAGGTCAAATCGAATAAAGGCTGGATGTTGCGCACCAGGGATTGATGAAAGCGGTGGGGTCACATCCCTCCTCCAAGGCACTGATTGGAACACACTTGTGCGCCACAAAGCCCCTGGTCCCATTTCCTCAAAAGGGACACTGTAAGTGTTTGCATGGCAGTGAGGGCAAACATCAACTTTCAAATGGCTACGAACTGCACGATAAGCTTTTGTTTGAAATGGATGATCTCCAGCAAGCCCCAGAAATACCAGGAAAAAAGTGTGGCCAGAACGGGTCTCAATTCCACCAGCATAGGCTTTCAGAGCAGACTTAGCAGTTTCCTCCAACAACTTGTCAATCACAATGTTCCCCGCTTCGGAACCCTTGTTGTATCGACTGTACATCTTGTGAGCACAGCTAGTTATGAGAAACATCCGCTCTAGTGAAGACTTGCCGATGCGCAACATGGAACCCCAGGAAAGTTGAAGAAGCGGTTTTCTCCTGTGGCCAGTACCCTCGTCACCATGCAACATACAGGGTATGCAATGATCCAAATCATGAGCATGGTCCTTGTAAACTGCGTGGTGCGGCTCAATTGCCTTCCACTTTCTCCAAAATTCAGCTAACTCATTTGTCCAACCAGCAACATCCGACACTGGTCGATTCAGAAGTTTCTCAGAATATGCCGAGTTTAGCAAGAACTGAGCCATGTCAAAAATCTTCAGCATTGGATGCTTCACTTCGTATCTCATCCTTTTCCTCCGTCGTTTCTGCGCAGGATGGACCTTCAGGGAAGTATGGCTCATGGAACAACACCATATGGTTTTGGGGTGTACTATAGGGCCAAAAATATAAAACAAAATAAACAAACAACAGCTGTTAAGATGTTAACCAAAGCGCGTTTGTCAACCAACTGATACGTACATTGAGCATGAAGCCCCGTCTATGTAGGTGCTGCGCTAAATCACGCCCGCGGTTTCCAGGCTGTGTTCTAGCTACATTGCCCACACCCTGTAAAAGGATTTTCTCCTTCGACCAAATAGCTAGATCACCAGCACCTTTCGCCTGTTTGATGGCAGCTTCAGCTGAGTTTGCCTCAGCCATTGTGCGGGTAGCACATGCTGACACCAATGGAGAACCCTTCAGCCGGTTTTCATGGGATTCAGAAAAAAACATCAGTAATATATAGTGGATGGTTTATATAATTTTTATATAATAAGCCCTCAGTAGTGGTGGTTGGTGTCTAATGACCCCTAATAAGCTCCATGGCCCTGGACAAGCTACACTAGGATCATATGCACACTTATTTGTATTATATATGTGTAATCCCAGAGCGTAACCACATCCTGTGAGGGACCTAGTAAGGTGTTATAATATAGTGTTGGTAAATCCTTCAGAAAGATGGTAGGGTTGTATTTTTAGGGGTTACTACAAGCCAATATCTGCAACTTTGGGGTTTGGGTGAATCCTAATCAAAATGCCCTTAAAGTGTTGGATTTATTACATATATTTTGTTCGATCTTGAAACCCCAAAGAATGGATGGATGTACTATAGAACTACTTGCTGGGCGAACCCTTTAATAATCGAATGCTAAGAACCCAGTATATGTGATTGTTGGTGGATAATAAATCCCTAATAACCACTGTTTTTGGATGGGTCACCTTTGGCGGGGTTGGCTGAAACCCCATTAAAAAAACAACTAATGTTTTATTGTCATTAGCTTTCCAGTTTTGCACCCCCAAAAAATCAATGATGCCGATTATATACATCATCACACACTTGGGTTTTATCTTTATTGGGATAAGGTTGGTTGTCATTTGATTCCATGGAACTGAAATCTTTGGCTTTGGGGAAAGACCAGTAAAAGGAACAACGCAGGATGGACCAGGCAAATCACTTGAGAGAAACCAAGGCACAACATAAGTCTTCAAGACATCAGCCACTACTGCAGGAACTGGTTCAGCAGCGTCATAGTCACCTGCGAGGGGGTGGCCAAGGGATCCCTTTAAAAAAATCGTAGGGTAGGGAACACCAAGGGATTAAAACCAAAGTGGGGTGAACCATATATATTATATTATATATTATATACACCGTGTTTGAAGTGCAAAAGAAAGGAGCCAGCATCAAGATGCAATCCCCATGTTTGATTTTGGGGTTGATGACATAAACCCTGACAAATCACTGGACCATCCAAACAAACAGAATTTGGCGAGTTCAAAACTCTCACTTGCCTTTTTGGTGGGACCCTTCAAAATTGCAGTCATAGGGTTGCCGCTTTCGTTTTCCAAGAAGACCTATAGATAGATCTATGGCACAACTCCATGAAACGGATCCATGGCACGGATCAGGTGCCACACATTTTCTTTGCATCTCAGTGACCCATCAAAATGGCCAGTTTGATTTCAGCAACACCAGCAACAAACAACCAGGTGAAAAGGTTTGAAAGTATAGGATGACCAATACAGCTTCCCGCAGCTATGGTTTTGGCAACTTGATTGCTGGAAGGCTGGGCCGGGTCAGACCAGAACAAACGCAGCATAGAGTCAAGAGTTTCAACTCTCATCCAGCTTCTGATTTTCAGAAGCCACAGCCTTGGCTTTCGCCTTGTTCTTGGGGATCGGTTTGGAATAAAACGTCCTCGGTTTGGAACATCTGGCCAAAAATAAACTACTGTCGAAGGAAGAATCATCTTTACATAACCATGCATGTATGGGTTCCATGGGTTCACTATAACTATAACCACTACTCTCCAAGGAAAAACACATCTTAAGATTTATATAACCATGTGTGGGTCCCATGGGTTCGCCCTGATGGTTTGCACAGCCAAGAGCATATGGTTGTAACATGTTGTAACCACCAACCATGTTTTCATTTTCATGACGACATACTTCACCCCAAAAATAAGGGATGGGCTCAGTGCGGATCTTCTCACAAGTCGATGCAAAGGAGCTTTTCCTTAACAGAAAACACAGGAATCCTTATGATTGTTTGAAACTACCATGATCCTGTTGACACACCTGGACAATCTTGGGCACATGGCAGAATAGCAAAACATATATGGTGAGACAGGGGATTGATTGAACGTGTTTTGAACAATACGAATAGATGCTTCGCAAGATTCTCACGACCGCTGGGGCTGATCTCAATCTGCCCAAGTTCCTGGTAGAGGGAGGACAGCTTACCTGAGCCGGCTGCAGGCGATGGACATGCGATGGCACAATGTTTGTGGACCTGGGCTACAAGGACTGGTCAATTGGGCCAAGGGGCTTCCGCTCGCCTCAAGGCTCTTCAAATCATTCCTTGGTATACGGTATAGTGTATTTACCACTGTTTGCCGAAAACAACAGGGTTTCACTGAGTGTACATCATTGAAAGATATATCCATGGGGCCAACCAGAAACGTACTGAAATTGTAAAAACAAAGTGGCTCATGACCTTTCGCCTGATCCTTCTCAAGGCGCTCACGGGTTGCTTTGAGCAACGCTTTTTTGGCCAAGCAAGCTTTCTTGTACTGCCCCACATACTCAACTATGGTTTCCTCACCTTCCACCACCGGAAAGTCGGTTAGTTTTTTCTTGGCTTTGTTGATCTCCGCTGGGTTTGTCTCTGACTCATCGTCATCCACGAGGATGTCTCCCAAACTGAAGTCAGTGTCAAACACACCGGACTCTTTCATCTCCTGTTCCAACTCCCTAAGTTTCTCATCACCAGCCTCCACGTCATCCTTGACCTGGACCAAGTACTTCACAGCACTGGTGTCGTAGATGCACTTCCTGCCGGAAGGCTTGAAGTGGGAAGGTTCTAAGATATTCAAATGCACAGGGTGCAAGATGGCATAATGCACATGCATAAATTTCAGCAAGCAAGCAAAGCAGTCTTGGTGAGCTTGCGCTTGGTGCAGTATTTGACCGCCCCTTCCATTTTGGCCCTTAGCTAGAGATCTGGTTCAAGTAATCGCTCATGGAATGAAACGCTTGTTCAACTATGAGATGATTCAAACATTCCAAATTTATAGTGACAAGATGTGACAAGTAACTGTGACCACCCCAAGGTTTTCATCTCATCTTCTGTATGCCAAGAGTAGCCCTGCAAATTGCGGCGCCAGGACTTCGCTGTGTTCCGCAGTGTCACCAAAGCTTGTAACTTGGCCTGGCTGCTGCGCTGTTGACCATTGGGACCAAGGAGGGATCGATAAACAAATAGCGGGTCAATAGTGGATAGATGATCAATGTTAAGAAAGGATGGGTGCAAATGGGTAAAACAAAGGTAACTGAACCTCATAAATTGTATGTTTTCCCCATGCAATACTTCCGCACAGTTGATTTGCAGATCAAATGATATGATATCATCATTGCCTTGTTCTTGGAAAAGTCGTCAACAGGACTGTAGCAGCGGCAGACAAAGTCACGAAGTAGGTGATCACGCTTTGGGCCACCTGATGCAATATGATGCAACCAATAACAATTCCCACCAGATTTTTGGAAGGGCCATCTTGATATAACCGGTAATGAAATTGCAATGGCAAGTTGTATAACATAATTTAATTATTGAAAGTTCCATCAAAACGGTTTTGGCGCCTGCATGCCAGGCATCATAGATCTCCTTTTCACACTGGTCCTCCCTCTTAGTTAGGCGGTAAAGGAACTGCCAAGCTGCAGGATGCGTCGATGAGGTAAAACGCATGTCTGTCATTGGCACAATCGCCACATTGGGAGGTGTCCCTTTGGCTGATTCCGGGGCGGCTGAAACTGAGTCAGCTGAGGGAGGGGACTTCTGAACGGCCCCAGACGGGGGCGGTGTTGCAAGTGCAGCCTTTTCCTGCAGTTTCTCTTTCAACCTTTCTTTCATGGCTGTCTTGGGGTCCTCTGTTGTTTTCTGCGCTGAGGCTGTCGTCATCCTGCTGGCTTCTTCCTCAATCTTTCTCTGCATGTTTTTTGACTTTTCTTTCAGGTCATCCAGCAACATTTGTTCATCAGCTACTAGTTGCATCCTAGTTTGCAGCTGCATCTCCATACTTTCCAGTGCTGCTTCTTTCATCCGCTTTTTTTCTTCCATTTCCTCATCTAGCTCTTGCATCCGTTTCGCTCGTTTTTGCTCCATTTCTGTCTCAAGTTCAGCTTCGGCTTTGCGTTTCATTTCCAAAAAGTCATCTGTCATGGCTTTCTCTAGGGCCTTTGCATGTTTGTCCATTCGGGCTTTCATCTCCGACTCCAAGGCACTTGCAGACAACGCAGACTCCGGAAGTTGCTGGGCAGGCTCTTTGGGAGGTGGCTGAGGTGGACCTGTGAGGCTAGGAGAGGGCTCACGGAGCTCTTTTGAATCCGGGGGATTGTGGACAGCATCACCTAGAACTGAACCACCTGCTGATCCACTGGAGTATCCTACAGGGTTTTGCCGATCACCCCAAAATCCAACAATGTATTTCATGTGCATTTAAACATTATACCTTTAAGACAATCATGGAACATGTTGAAACAAACTGTGAAACTCTTTTTGGTGGAACAGATCTCCTCGTCTAAGCTCATTAGCAGCACCAAGGATTTCCGCTTTCAATTGCAGGGACTCTGGGCTATCACCAAGACCCTTGAGCAAAGCCCTAGTCTCTGGTGAGAACAGCGCAGCTTCATCATCAGGCTCTTCATGTTTCACCTAAAGCATGCGATGACTGATTGAAAGAACATGCGACATTTCAATGATTTACAGGTTTGGTAAAAAGGCCGCAGTTGCAATAATCTCCAACTTGTCCACAGGAGTCATGTCAATATGGTGCCCCCCATGGTATATATATAAATATAGTTTTCTTATGATGGTAAGAACTGTATTGCTCGAACATGTTTCATGGGACACTTGGATATGAGACAAGTTTCAAGTGACCTGGCCGCCCTGGTGGGCGTTCTGGGTTGGGGCTGGTCATTCAACTTCCTCACCCCATCCATCAGCGATTCGGTTGAGTGCAGCCGGTCACCCATCCCGTTGGATCCACCCATGCCGTAAGTTGAGAAACGGCTGCCCATATGAATACTTGACATCATGAAATCAAACAAATCCAATCTTGAAATGTTTTTGTGAATCGAAGGATGGTTGCACCATTGCAATAGATTTCATAAGCCCTTTTGACTTCTAATTTTCCAACAGGTTTGAAAGTGGAACCCTGAGAAACCTGAAGCTGGCCGTGCTGCAGGTGGCGGTGGGCGCACCATTCGATGATGCAGATGCTCGAGATGGTCCGGGCTCCAGTCCTGGCCAGCATGGTTGGTTCAAACAAGGGGGTGGCCATTCAGGAGGGTATCAAGGGTTCTATACATATAGCCCCCAAAAAAAGCAGGTCTCCCAATCACCAACAAAGTTTGTTTTTTTTGGGGCTGCGTGGGTCATTTTACAGATGGCCTATTAAAGCCATTTTGGGACCCAAAAACCTTGAGAAAAGGGCACCTGTAAAAAATGGCCCATAGAAGGGTATACTCTGCAAAAGGCTGATCGAATTTCATCCCTGAACTGTTTTGTGCAGTTTTTCTTGTATGAGGGACGTTTATCCACTCCATGTTATGGGATGGAACATGCCGCCTACAGGAAGGCTCCCCATAAGTTGATTTATACCCCCATGACTTTATATACCCAGCATCAATAGTAAGCCTATATGTATAAGCTATAATTATATAGGCTATCTAGGGGGCCCTCATTTTGTATATCTTCAGTCCATTTAACTTGCTTTTAACATGAAAATCAATACTGGAAAACAAGTTTTCCCCAGGGCAAAGGATATATAGCTCCGTTGATACTATAGTATACGCTTGAATGATCACCCATACTGCTGGTCCCCAGCTTTGAAGGTACTGACCTGTAATGTCATCCCCACAAAAAAACAGTCGGGAATAGCGGTTACCCACCAAAAATGATCATCATAGAAGGGGATGCCCCAAATTAAAAAGCTGTTGGATTGGGGTTGCCAGTATGCGTTCACAATTTCACCAATGATATAAGCCAAAATGTTTGATCAGTATTGGAAAAATGACAGATCTAGCCATTGCATGCTGATTTGAAGCAATTTCTGACTTATTTTTTTCTTGCGCATTCTTGCGCGTTCTTGCGCGAAAAGTTGGCTTTCTTGCGCAAAAAGTTGGCTTTCTTGCGCATTCTTGCGCGCAAGAATTTTTCTGTTTTTACTCATTTTTTCCTAAAACAACCAATGATGGGGAAAAGCCAACTTTTCGAACAAGAATGCAACATTTTAATACATTTTACTATTGATAAGATATTGGGTTGGGTTGCAATGGCCCAAGAACAAATAATCCCTTTGCAAACAAGACTATACACACTTTTTCACCCATTCGCTCTGGTAATGAACGGCTGGTTGTCTGCCCCAAATGCTTGCAAGGCCAGCGTTGTTAAACAACACAGGCATGGGGACCAAGCCTGCCAATTGCTTTTGGCACTCCGTGGCTTCGGGTGCCCATCTAATCTCCAAGGCTTTCTGAGTACATGGTTGGTACCTGCAAGTGTTTATTTCTTGCTAAGTATTCAATCACTTCATCCATCTTTGCGGAAGCCCACACATCTGGGGTCACCAATGATTTGAGAAGAGCCGGCCCCGATGCACCACCAGAATCCTGTGAGGAGGGGAATGCAGTTTGATGGTAGGAAGGTGGCGTGTGTATACCATGCAATAACATGTTTTTAAATGTTTTTAAAAAATGGAATGTGGAAGAAATGGTCAATAATCAATAGTGCCCCTTATTTGAAAACAGATGGTGGGAGCCCCCAAAGACATATGATCGATATACAATTATTAGCGATACTAAATTTGGGGATGCTACTGATCCCAAGTCCTGTGGGGACCGCAATGGCTTCACCCCAGCATTGAAGCGGGGTAAAAGGGAAGCAACCCGCCGACCAAAAGCTCGTGTGTAGACCCTTGGCCGGGACCCAAAAATGATTGGACAAATGTTTGAAACAGTCCAAATATATATTATATGTTATTATATTATTATATAATATATATTTATATAAATATATTATATAGTATATTATATTATTAAAGTCATGAATACATATTAATATACAATCGTTGCAGTTTAGGGACTGCGACTTCTTTAGCCGCTTCTTGACTCCATGACATCGCTTTTGACCCCTGGAGTCTTGATACTGCTGAGCCAAGGGTACCGTGCCCACTCTGTCTTCCTGGATGGGATGTAAAACTAGCAGGGACCAATCAATCAAAATCCATTCAGCCACCCAACCATGGACAATTGCTTAGCACATACACAGAGAGACATTGTAAGATTTGTCTGTCCCAAAACACTAACGTGAACCCAGATGAAGAAACGTTTAACTTATTCCGAGTGCCAATTCTCAAAAACTAATGTAAAGTATACTTCTGAATTGTGCACTAAAGGGGTTTATTCATGGGTTCAAACGGTTCAAATGACATTGGCCTAGATAATTCCCACAGAGATTATCAGCTGAAGCTGTCCTTCCTCAAACGGCCTTGGCTGAGTTGGTGCACCACCTCACTGTTGCTCCAAAGACTCGTGGGCTTGCACGAGTCTGAGCCCCAGTGTCGCATGTAGAGGCGCTGTCGGAAAACCTGGGCCAAGGCAGGGCAGTTGGTGCCCCAACATGTTTTTGGTAATACCCTGTTTTGTCTCTGGTGCCCCATGATATCTTTACACCGAGCAAAATAACATAGGAAAAGTTGATTGAAACATATATGTTGCCCAGTCACACGGCAAATGTATTTGCAGAAATATCGCCACTGTGGAAAGGACCGAAAATAAGATCCAGATGGCTGTTCTAATAGGAAACTATGGCCCAATGCCACCAAGATCCAGCACAGCAGGATTGACCTTGTACTTTAAACCCTGTGTAACCAAAACCTTGTAATGGATTGATCCCTATTTCATTTTTGATGGGGGAGATAGGGAACACTTTCATAGTGATTAACCCAAGCAAGGCACCGAATGGCCAGCAAGTTTCCTTGCTGTACTGACATTTTTGAGATGTCACCAAGAGGTAGCATGAATGTTCTTTGTGTCACCGAAGATGCCAAGAATCCCATAGTAGAGCAAACTGGAGCCAGCAGCCCCATGGAGTTAGGCTCTAGCTTCAATAGTGTCAGCAATGCCAACCTATGTTGATCCCAAGTTGGGGTCCAGAGACATAAGCAAATAATAACCCATAGTATAAAGATGTATTGTTTTCTCAAAATCCTAAAAAAAGATCTATGCTGAGTAAGGCAACCCCATACCAGCAGGAGTGAGGAGGTCCATTGCTCGCCCCCCATATGCCACATCCAGAGACACACTGCAGTAAGATGCCATAAGGACCTCCGCTGTCACGTGGGCTTCTCCGGCAAAGAACTCTGCAAATCGCCAAACCTAAGGCGCAAATGGGATGGCAACAGGGTTGCATAATAGGTGATGGTGATAATGTCATATAATATCTATTGGGTGAGTCTTAAAAGTCAAAGGGCCCATTGGGGCGCCCCGAAGACGTTTAAGTTTAAGGTCAAAAAATAATTTTGGGGCACCTGCATTTCGAGCATACAAATCAAAATTTATAATAACCCATATTTGTAAACTTGTTCATCTGTATGTCGACAGATTAATTGTGTATATTAATATATCACCTGCATCGTATTTAAACAATATCGCAGTACAATATCTACACATGCATGTCAATCTATCTGTTTGTCTATTATCCGTCGATCTATGTAAACAATAGTATACTTGTCTAGCTCACCTAAATCCCTCATGCTACCCGCAACAAGGGTTTCACTAAAACCAAGTGATGATGGTGATTGAATCCAGAAAAAACTTTTCGGCCCAGACGCCCTCGAGATGTCATGAGACATCGTCCATAACAAGAGTAGCAGGCAAATAGCCACATCCTATTGGTCAGCGTTAACAACCATAGCGGCAACATGGTCCTCATTTCATCTTGGGTTCACGCACCATTTTGGGGATGGAAAAGGTACAGGGGCCTGCGTGCAAACCCAAGATGAAATGAGAAAACGCTTTAATTTGAAGACCCCTTTCAACCGAAATCCTGTAATCAAAACACCATTATAACAGCCCTTATAAGTCCCATATTTTTTTCATTTCCAACACAGTGCCTTCGGAACCCGGGCTTTGAATAGAGCCAAGATCAATTGCTCTGCGCCCCATGCTTGCATGGCACCACCTCTCTATATAGTCTGATGCACGGGCAGGGAAAACTGGGAGCCTAAATCTGCCTTGGTAGCACACAGAACTAATGGACCAATCTCCACACGATATCAACTTTTGAACATATATTATTATATTATACATCACATCAAAGGATTGTGCTACTATACTATTCTGGGTATATATAGTATATATTTTGGTTTCGATCTGGATTTACAGATAAGCAGCTTGGACCCCTGCGACATCATCCACACCCTAGGCACC